CCCATCATCCCCTTAAGTCAAGTGGCCTCTCTTCTCTTTGTTGTGAAATTGGCTGAGGAATGCGGAAGTGCCTTTTCAGAGCTCCGTTTCAGACAGCGGCTGCTTATCTGCAACGGGGCAAAGCAAACGTTTACTGAGTGAGTGAGAGAGAGGCAGGGGGGCTAGGGAGATCTGAATTTACAAGACAGCGTGCTGACACACTCTCAGCACTCCAAAAGCCCACTCTCTCTCCCCCCACATACTAACAACACACTCAACTCCACCCCCCTCATTTGAAAAGCATGTTGCAGCCACTTGCACGCTGGGGTAGCTGCCCATAATCCACTGCTCCCAATGCCGCTGCAAATGTGGCCATGCCAGTGCGCTTGAAGCTGTCAGTGTGGACAGACTGGAGCGCTTTCCGTAGTGCGCTCTCCGAAGACTGGTTTAACCCAAAGCGCTCTACAGCTGCAAGTGTAGCCAAGCCCTAAGGGCTTGTCTTCACTGACTGGGAGCTACGCCCCTTGTGGAGGTGGTTTTTTTAGAGCACTGAGAGAGCTCTCTCCCAGCGCTCTGCTGCGATCACATAAGCCACGGCAGCACTTTACCGTTGCCAGTGTAGACTAGCCCTAAATCATGGACTCAGCAGAGACACCGGTTATCCCAGTCATTACAACCATTTGTAACCTACTAACCCTGCTTTGTCCTATGACTTGCAGAGGTGTTAATTGCCCACTTTGTTTAAATGGTTTCTTGCAACATGTGTTAACCTCTTATGCTTAACAGTCTGTCCCACCTTTAGCTGTTACACCCTGGTTATCTTTCCCAGACCTGAAGGAGAGCTCTGGGAAGCTTGAAAGTTTGTCTCTTCCATCAACAAAAGTTGGTTCAAGAAAAGATATTACCTTACTTACCTTGTCTCCCTTTCAGCGTATTTGGTTTGGAAATGGGCATCTCTAGAACAGTTGCTGTTTTATCTATATCTTTATGGCATTACACAGTTTAAGATGATGTGAAATTAGTTAGTTACAAAGCCTTAAGATCCGTCCAGCAAACTAGACACTTTTTGTAGGAAAAAATTATGCCAGACAGTATAACGTACACTTTTGTTGTAAGTGGGGAATGACACTCTAGCAGGTGATAGGTAAATGTACCAGCCATTTGATTGTTAGTAACTGTATGTTCATAATGTCTTTGTTTGATTTTGTCATATCTTAAAGGATGAGTCAAAAGGACAGGTTGAGAGAACTTTGATCCAGTCTACAGAGAATGGGACAGATATCATTTCTCCTTAGGAACAAACAAAGGCAAGAGCAGTGGGGGAAGAAAGAAAGCCATTGTCAGCCCTGCACATGTGATTGGATTGGAGGCTTCTGAAAATCGCTCTTCATTGAATTTCAGCCATCATCATCAATGTAACTTGAGTTTCTCTGGCTAAGTCCTGTCATGCTGAAGCCTTCCTCATGGACACATTGTTAGGTGTAATGTCTGCAGACTCTGGGTTCTTGGGGGATGTCTCCACTTGCCATTTAAAGCGAAAAAAGTCCCTGTTTTGCACAAAAACCGTGGGAGCGTCTACATTTGCCAATGACAGAAGTTTCACAAGAAACAGAAACTCACCTCGACGAGAAGCGTACAGTTCTTATCGCTGATCCTTTTGTGGTGATGTGCAAGTGGAGACACGTTCTTCCTTTTAGCCTCCAGAGGATATCCCACAGTGCCTAGGGCGATCACTCTGGCCAGCAGCTCTGCTGCTGTGAGGCCAGGTAAACAGACGTCCGCCTCTCCCCTGTAAAGCTGCAGGAACTTTGAAACTCCCCTTCCTGTTTTGTTTGCAAGTGCTCATCTGGCCAAGTGACCATGGTGGCTCCACAGAGTAAATGATCCGCCGCTGGGACCCTGCGCTCACCCTCCCCTTCCCAGAAGCCCTATAGTGGGATAGCTGCCCTCAGTGCGCTGCTCTCATGGGTGATGAAATGCTGCAAATGTAAACACTCTCTGACCCTGTGGAAGTAACTGAGTACAGAAACCAGTGCTTTTCTTTCACCGGTTCCCTATCACCGATGAAACTCAAGTGTAGACATAGCCTTGGTTTCATTCAGTAACTACACTTAAACGTCCAGTTATTCATTACAATCACCTATCACGCTGGGCTTTGCAGCCAGAAACACTTCCTGGTATCCAGGAATCTCTATTGGACCAGTTGCTCTTTTGACTATATTGGACCAGATCACCACATAGTCAAAGTGGTTTTTATACATAGCTTTAGTTTTATAACAGGACAAGAGAGGGTGGGGACAGAAATCTTGTCTTGCTGTAAATATTTGTTCAATATCATAATACATTAAATCTGCACATTTATTGTTTCTTGTTAATCAGATTTGCTTTGAACCTTCTCTATGTGTAAGATAAAATCCCAGGTAAGAAGTATGGTTGGAAATAAAGCTAAACTGTTTTTACAGTGATGATTGGAGAGTGGACTGCACCATCTTGCTACCCTTGATAAAGCAGCAGTCAGAGGGCTGGACAATCTAGGTATCGATGTGTGATGCGTATGAAAGAAGAAGATAGTGAAGTCATATTCCCCCCAGAGCAACTTTCCTGTCAGTGGGGATAACGGGTTGCGAAGATTCATTCATTAATATGTTGTTTAAGCACTGCAGTGCTTGGATGAGAGGCATTACAAGAGAGAAAAGCAGCATGATTATTATTCTGTGGCATGGTAGAAGTGGGTCTTGTGGAGGGATTTGAAGGAGAGTGCTGTGGCCTTTTCGATTAGTCTGGAGCGATGAACCAGGCATAAGTGAGCCGCGGAAGAAAGAGCCAAGGTGCTTGTGGGAGAGACCGATGAATGGGTGATGGAGGCTGCCATTGTGGGAGGCCAGGAGATGCTGGGGGTGATGCAGCAAGATACAGGAGCAGACTAAATAGGGAAAAGCTGCATTATGAGGAGTCTTAAAGGTAGGGAAGAGACGCTTGTTTTCTATAGAGTTGGGGGAAGACTAAGCCCCTTCCCAGGGCCTGAGGCCCTCTGACTCATCCACTGAGTCTCTGGGTCTGCAACTCATCCCAGAGTCAGGGAAAAGGCATGAAACCTGCCCTCCACAAGGGGTTAATATTGGTCTGTCAATCACCTGACTTCCCTTCCTGATGGGCTAAATCCGTGTTGTTGTTTTTTTAACTGGGCCTTAGCCACTTTGTGAGGAGTTGCTAGGCAGGATAGCCATGTGGGTGGGCCCTGCCTGATATTTCCTATTGCTGTATTTTTGTGATTGGGTGACTGTCTTGCCAGGTTGACAAACCACTCTTTCTCTGTCGCTGTAATTGGCAGAGGAGGTTGAACAGAATGTGATTTTTTTCGATTGGCTAGATGAGACTTGTTGCTAGGCAGAGTAGCCAGCCCATTGTTGGGGTACCAGGCTGTGTCTTTGCTGGAGACAAGCAGGTATGTTTTTATATGAAGATAATTATCTAGTGAATAATGCAAATCATGACAATAATCATCGACTTTATGGACTCTGTGGATGCAGTTTCTGTTCTTTGTCCTGGAATTGGCCTGAATACAGTTGAAATCCTAAGAATTTGTGGCATAAAGACATTTGATACTCATACAGCCCTTCCTCATTCCTTCCTTTTCTCAAATTCTGGACAAAAAATGACTGAACAAAATGGTTTTCAGTTAAAATGTAAAATTGCACAGCAGCCATTGCTCTACAACGCAGCATGGGGCAGAACCTGCCACCCCTTGGGAGTTAAGTGAGCTACTCTCATTCTCCATCCTTCCTAACCTGTGTGCTGCTTTTCATGCTGTCAACCATGACATCCATCTGGGACCATTTGCTGGAGTCTCAGAGAACTGGCTGCCTTGGTTTTGCTCCTATTAGAGTGGCTGGATAGGGAGCTAGCCCTGAAAGAACTGGGTTCTACTCCCCCCAGGCACTTCCTCTCTGACCCCAGGCCAGTGCTTTAAGGACAGAATTGTAAAGGTTTTTAGGAACCCAAAGTTACAGCTAGGCATCTAATGGGGTTTACAAAGCACCAAACCTTCTAAGTGCATTTGAAAATCTCACGAGGTGCCTAAATACCTTTGAAAATCTGACCTTTAGTCTGTGTGTGCCTCAGTTCCCCACCTGTACAATGGGGATAACAGCATTGCTCTACCTTGCCGAGGGGCTGGGAGGAGAAATAGGTTAGAGGCTGTGAGGAGCAGCCTCAGATACTACAGTGATGGGGCCACATAACTAGGATAGGTAGAGTGGGAACTTCTCTATACACTCAAGTATCGGGGTAGCCATGTTAGTCTGTATCCACAAAAACAACAAGGCATCCGCTGGCACCTTAAAGACTAACAAATCTTGTTAGTCTTTAAGGTGCCAGCGGACGCCTTGTTGTTTCTCTATACACTGCTAACCCTGCTCTGGGTCTGACCCCTACTTTTCACCTAAGCCCCCAAATCGCCCCCTTTTCTGAATGTAACCTTGGCTCAGTGCTTTGCTGTATTTTCCCCAAATCCCCTGTTCTCTCTGACAAAACCTCTCCCCCCTCCACGGAGGGATTCCTCTTTTACAGCTAAACTTCCAGCCTCTTCATTTAATCACCAGCAATTTCTGATCTTAATCACCCACCTCTGCTTGTAAACAAAATACAGGCTCCCTGTCCCGGGTCACCTCTCCTCTGCACAACAGACACTAATGCTGGGCTGTAGTTAAGAGCTCCACTGGGGAGCTCCCAGACCTCCTGTATGAAACTCGGGGGGCTGCTCTCCCCTGCCCCCCTAATTGGCGCCCTTGGTGGGTTTACTTTAAGTGTCTCTCGCCCTCTAACAATATAACCCTAAAGAGCAGCCTATTGGGAAAGTCCCGCCTGCTTGCATCATTCACTTTCACTTTGTCTCGAGCTGGGCTGGTGACTTGGTTGTTGCTGCGGGGCCGTCGGGCCTGGATTAGAGCCTGAGCCGGAGCAGGACTTTGGGCTTGTGCCCTGCTAGCGGGCCGGGAGCTCCCGGAGAAGGGCGCGGGGGATCCATGGGGCGGACACCGCAGGACAGGGCGGTGGCACCAGGCTCGCTAAGTCCCGCAGCTTGTCACTGATCGGGACCGGGCGGCCGCGCTGCGCTGTAGCGGGCGGAGACTCAATGCCCAGCGGGGGCAGACACAGACAGGCTCTGCGGGCTGGTCTCAGGTCCATGCTCCGGGTGAGTGGATCCCCAAAGCTCCTGAAATAAAATGGAGCCAACAGATCGGCCCTGCCCAGCAGAGAGACTGGGGGAGGTTTGGGGGTGCATGGGTGAGGATGGGGGAGGGATTGTGGGAATCTTCTGTGACTAAGAAGATCCCAGGAAGCTGAATTTTTTACATTGATCCTTTTTACTAACGCGAACTACCCGCCCTTCCCCCGCGGGGATTTGGGGTTGTTTACTTCTTGTTCGAGAAAATCTCTCTGCATTTTAGAAGCTGTTGGGCTCCATCTGGTGGAGACAGCAAAGAACAACACAAATGAATATTGAAAATAAAACTTTTCCTTCTTAATTTAGTAAGAAAAAAATACCGCGGGGAGATTTTGGTTTGTTCTCATCAGTGATACTCAGCCTGGCGCTTGGGGGGTCTAAGTGGATTGACTTTTCATTATGTAGATTGGCAGAAGTTTTTTTTAACGGACTGATTTAACAACAAACAAACAATCCTATCCCCAAAGTTGCCCTTTGAATGGGGAAATGTTTGAGGATTCTAAATGGACAGTAGCTCGTTGTGGTGCGTTGTACTGAATCTGCTGCTACTCTAGCCCCATAGTTTGTTGTTTTGTATCTGCCGTTTCCTCCCAGGGTGTCCACTGTTGTATGGACGTGCGGGACAGGCCAGCCCAGGGAATAACGCTTGGCCCACTCGGAAGCTGTGCTGCTGGGTCTCAGTTTGGGGCTTTCCATGGCCAATCATATTTCAGTCCTTCCATTTTGGGTGTCACAGTGTAAACTGAAACTGGCGCTAAGTTCAATTGAATTCCAAGTAGTGAGCGAAACACACCATGGGTAAAAAGAAAAGAGAATATACTGGGGAAAAAAAGGAAAATGATTTCCAAGTGGCTAACAGGGTATCCCCCATGCTTCTGGAGTTAGAAAAATCATAACAGAAAGCGGCTTTAGCTGAATTGTCAAAGGCCACAGTCTATGAATCCAGCCCCATCACTGTGATGCACATGATTAGACCCACACTGAGCTGAGCACTCCCATGAGTCAGGGATGGAGGATCATGTCCCAAGGCTGTAAAGGCTGGATTCTAGCCAGACTAATGTCAGTAGAATTATTCCAGGTTTAAACGAGAGCAGAGTTTGACCCAGAATGTGGAGAGTGGTAGTGAGGAAATGGCGATGTAGGGGGCTGATAGGCTAACAGCAGACACCACCAATTTGGTCATCTTAATGCAGTCTCTCTATACAAATACACATCACACATCATTTGAAAGTTTTGTATGTCTACTTTAAGATGAGGTATGATGTGGAGCTGTCAAGTGGTGCTGTTACCACAGATATGGGGATAAACAGTGACACCATCAACACGTTAAAATGATCACTTTGAAATTTGCATTTGTTTCTGTTACTTGAATGACTCTGTGTATTATTTCAAGCAATAAAATTGGATTTCTTTGTGACCTCAAAGCATCACAGCAATACCCTAAAGGGTAAAACAAAATATGATAATAAACTTGTATAAGTATCATGGAAAAGTAATAGCGCTGGTAACATTTCTAGTCAACATCATTATCATCTTGTTCATCATTATGATCTCCATTGAATGTGCTTGCGGGCTTGGGGAGGCTAGTCAGTGTCACAGTGCTACCAGCTGCTCTCCGTCTGCTTTTGAGCCTGCATGATGTGACTCAGAAACTTCTCTTCTTCCCTAAAGATTTTTGTCATTTTCTTGATAACACAACTACCTCATTCGGAAGCTCTACAGTGCTACGCAGGCGAATATGAAATAAATGGCGAATGCTGTCCTATGTGCACTGCTGGTAGGTATATATGATTGCTTCTTTAAAAATCATGACCCTTCCCTAGAGAGTCCAATTGTCTGGCCTCCTCTCGGAGAGCTTGACTACAACCCTACTTTACCCTCCGGCTTTTGCACTCGGCTTCTGTCACTCCAGTACTGACTGTTTGCTTGTTCCCATTAGGATTCATTGTATTCACCCTTTGCCCTGCATCCGGGATCCCCCAGCCCTTCCTGGCCCTTCCCCAGCCCCTCACAGTCCCCTTGTATCGGGATCCAACTGATCTTTCCTCTGCACAGGGACCTCTGCCCGTCCCACCCCAGCCACTGCCCTGCCCCAGGCAGCCGTCCAGACAGCTGCTGTGGACACCAGCACTGCCCCAGCCCCTCACCTCTCAATCTACTTCTTATAGTCCGATAGGACTGGCCACAGGCAGTCACCTGGCTTCCTTAGTCCCCTGGCGCTTTCTGGTCATGTGATCCCTCCAGTCACTGGCTTCACCTGAGGATTCTCCATCCCCCTAGGAGGAACTACAGTACTCAGACCTGCATCTTTTAAAGGGCCATGAATCTGACTGGGCACAGTGGGGACATATGGATCTGTCAAAGGTCCCGTGTCCGTTACACAGAGTCTAAGCACGACTGTACTAGGGATCCTACTGATAAGGGAGGGGTGTGAGTTATGAGATTGTTTCTGTCTGTGCTGTATCTGTGTTGTGCACAAATAGAGGATTTCAGTTCTGGCAGTCTAGTTCTGAGACGTTTACCTTTTATTTCTCATGGTAGTGTGTGCAACATGTAAAATCCACACACATAGCGTGTGCATTTGTTATGCATAATTACCCGCCTTTGCAATCTCTGTATTAATGCATTAAATATATTAGCTTGGTTTACACAGGAGCTAATTGTTTTGTTTGCTTTAGGGAGCAGGGTGTTCAAACATTGTACACAAAATGTCAGCACAACATGCATGCCCTGTGTGGACGACACATATACAGAGCATCCCAATGGCCTAACAGAGTGCATGAGATGTAAAGTCTGCGATGCAGGTAAGGAAGCTGTCCGGTGTGTGTGTGTGTGCGGGGGGGGGGGGGGGGGGGATGGATTTTAATTATTTTTTTCTGAGTTGTCTCCCCCAGCCCACATATACAAAAGCAGCCTAGTTGTTTGGGCCCAGGACTGGAAGTCAAGAGTCCTGGGTTTTGCTCACAGTTCTCTTACTGAGTTCCTTGCAATCTTGGGCAAATCACTGAAGTGGAGATTTCTAGCACAGTGCATGGGCTTCAGTCGCACATCTTCCACTGATTAAGGGCTGTGGAATCATCCCGGGAGATTCTTCTCAGGGGGAAAGTGGATCTCTAGATTTAGCAGAAGTAGAACAAACACAATAAAAATAATTATAATCAAACATTTCACATGGTGTCCTTTGTTGTAGAGCAGCAGCTCTGCACCATCAGGATCTGGATTGTATGCGGGGAGATACCATCATAGATTGTTAAGGTTGAAAGGGACCTCAGGAGGTCATCTAGTCCAACCCCCTGCTCAAAGCAGGACCAATCCCCAACTAAATCCCCAAATGTCCCCCTCAAGGATTGAACTCTCAACCCTGGGTTTAGCAGGCCAATGCTCAAACCACTGAGCTATCCCTCCCTCCAGGAACCTTCCTTTTCAGATCCCAGATCCTGAGCAGTGGCTGAGGAACACGCATGTACCTCAGGAGGCAGGAGTGACATGAGTGACAGTAAGAAACCATTGTGCTCCTCTGCTCCTGGGGCCATCAGGGTCTGGTCCCCAGCATGAATTAGAACAGCCTGCAGGCTGCTCTAGTTTACATCAGCTGCCTATGGCCCCAAAGGCTGTCCCAGCACATGGGGATCCGTTGGGCAGCCAGGAGGACGGGTTGTGTAGCAGGTGTTATGACCACTCCAAAATCCCACTACAGTGGACTGCTCCTCCAGTGGCCAACTCGACTGGAGGTTGTGGTCCTTTATATGTGGCTACTGGGAGCCTGATTCTCCACCGCCGTTGTCATTATTCACACCCGTGCAGATGAATGCAGAGTGGGTGCAAAGCACGATCTCAACTGCAGCTGAGTAGAGAATGCTGGTTTGGTAGCATTTTGCATGTACCCTTTGCACAGATGTAAATACAACACAAGGTGCAGGGCA